ATTGCGGGATATTAAAAACTCGAATATTTCAATGTTCTTAAATTATAGAACAATCTAGTGTTTGGGTCACTGCGACACCCATATACTTCAAAGATTTTTCATTGGTTACCTACTTTTGGACCTCGCAACACAATTGGCTTACGTCACATATGTATGTTTTTACACAATTGTAGCTGTTGAATTGCATTTTTGATCTGCTTATGTTTAAGAATTATTATTACACATGTCAAAATTTTATTTAAAAATAAATCGAGATTTTGCAAAGATCCGGCTTGTCAGAAATATATGTGTATATATATGCTTACACACGTCACATTTTGCTGTCACTATAAGAAACACACTCTAAGCAGATAATGGGTAAGGCGGCTAACCTTGGCGGGACACTGTAGGATGATACCGCGACCATTTACATACTGATAACAGCGCAGAAGTACTGCTGGTTTTCCTTCAGTTTTAAGCTGGTGGTAGACAGTTTAGTTCCATCCAGAATTTTCTTCAAGACAATTTGCGTTGTGAAATTTCTGTTTCATAAATATAAATTATTTGTTTTTGCGAGCAGGATATATTCTTTATAGTAAGTTACATAGTGTTGAATTGCTGTGTCTGTTATAACAATTACTATACCACAAATCTTGGACTCCTCTTTCATTCGTAATACTTGGAACTATTGGATTGTGTAGAATATCCTTTTGTATTCATGTGTGACATAGGCCGTGTCTGAACTCAGGCGATTAATCGCCGATTTCTCAAACCGGAGGTCTGGATTTGTTCCCGGAGGTATTTGTAGTGTGGGCAAAGTGTTACTTGGGAAGGTTATCCCCATTAGCTAGTATTTTATATAAAATCAGACATAAATAATTTACAAGATAATAAATATTAAATTATTAGGTGTATAGAAGTATGAAATTTTTGTGATGTGTTGTATGTGATTTTAAAAATAATATGGAATGTTTCTAGTTTACTTCCCAGAGGATCATTTTGAATCTACAAATTATATTACGCGTAATGCGTCACGATAGATTGTCATTTCATGATTATTTGTAGTTGCTGTTATTTTTAAAATAAAGAATAAGACTAGTTTTAAGTACAGTCATCCCTCCATATTTGCGATATTGCGCCCTACTTAACGGTTTGCATAAGTCCATGCCGTGATTCTGTATCGGCTAAATCTCGCGAAATTTGTCTCTTTGTTAGGGGGTGGCACTCTCATACCATCCATAAAAAAGTTATCTTACCGATGAAAATAGAAACGTTGAAGCTGTGAACAGCTAAAATAATATATGTGCTTTACAAGGATAAATACAGATTGTTATCTGAGGCCAAGACCTTGCTGGTTAATATCACAGCAACATATGTATCCTCGCGAATACTGAGGCGTGTTGTATTTCAATTCGCATGGCGTAGACCGAATGTAAAGTTACTGCGTGCGCCTATGTTTACGTGTAAAACTAGATTCTACCAAGATCAGAATCATAATTCGATGTAATTAAAATAACTGATTATGTCTCGACATTAGCTTCTGATCTTACACATTCAATGTTGGTATAACTACGAACGTTTCAAAATCTGCATATGACTGTCTCCTTGATTGTTGTGCTATGTAATCTGGTAGTTTACCGACATTTCAGAGGTGCTTGCTGCCTCCATAATCAGGGCGATGAGTCTCATGGCCCTGATGGAGACAGCAAGAACATCCGAAACGTCGGTAAACTTCTACGAGACTACACCGCGCAACAAACTAGAAGACGGCCATCTTCACACTCGCTTCTAGAAGAACCTGAAATCTAACGTTGCAAACTCTGTTTAGTTGAAATAAGTCTTGAAATATGAGCTTATAAAATAATAGCATGTTTTTCCATTAGCAGGATAAACTTAAAGGAAAATCTGTAAAAATGACTGCAGTACCGGTGACTGTTCTAATCTTCTTCGGTCTGCTGTCATGTTGCGCCGCTAAGGAGGTCATGTGTCCCGCAGAAGTCTGCGTTTGCGAGGACGTGGGCAGCGATGGGGCCCCTCAACTGTTTTCCAATTGCACTAATGCTTCTCTTCACGATGTTCCTCGTGAGCTTGACAACAGCACCGCGATTCTCGACGTATCTGATAACAATATCACACAACTTCGGAACGACACGTTTGGCAGAACAGGACTCCTCCATATCGACAGAGTATTTGTAAATCGTAATTATATAAGTGGGGTGGAATCTGGTACATTCAGTCAGTTGAGTTCCTTGTCGGAGCTTCACTTGGAAAGTAACCTGATAGCATCAATATTACCTGGCACTTTTTGGGGTAACCCGTTTCTCATCGTATTGAATTTACGAAATAACCGTTTGTCATCTCTGCCTGTGGATATTATTACATTAAAGAATCATATTCGAAAGCTGGATATAAGCGAGAATACTATTAAACAAGTGGACACATATTTAGTTCAGAAGTACTATCCGGAACTTCAGATATTTGATGTTAATAAGAATCAAATCACTCACTTATTCTCGACCTCTCCTGTAGATAATTCGAGCCTTGAAGTTATAGATGCGAGTTTTAACTATATTGCAGAATTAGATCCCATTACATTCTCAAGTGCTTCAAAACTAAGTGAGCTAAACATAAGTAATAACGAAATAAGCAGTTTGAGTGAAGACATGTTTGCCAGTAATCCAGAGCTTGTGAAGTTGGATATAAGTAATAATTACATTCTCACTATACAAAGGGACACTTTCAGAAATAATCCAAAAATCACGGAAATATATGCCGGTTCTAATAGTTTGACGTATCTGCACCCTGGCACGTTCCGTGAGAATCCCCAGCTCACAAAAGTAACTGTTAGCTGGAATAGAATTCAAGATATCCATCCTGAAACATTCTACAATAACCCTAAGCTCGAGTATTTGGATTTTAATGGTAATAAACTCGAGACATTGGATCCCGGTGTTTTCCAGAACAATCCCATACTGAAATCTGTGGACCTGAGGAGCAATTTTCTGGTTACAATCCATGAGAATACTTTCCAGAACAATCCTAAGCTCGAACAGCTCTTAGTGAGCAGAAACGAACATTTTCGCTACCACAACGGATTAATAATTCTTGCGTCTTCGCTGAAAGTGTTCGATGCTCAGCATTGCAATTTGTCGCAACTGCCTGTTGACATTTTCAATAATACATCCAACCTCCGCGAGTTACATCTCGGTAACAACAATTTGACTTCGCTGGATTGCGATGCAGACACAGACAGCAACAATTACGTGGATTCGTTCAGCAAGTTACAAGTCTTAGATGTCTCCAATAACCAGCTGCAGACGATCAGCGTTGAAATTCTCAATAATAAAATGACAAATCTGAAAACCCTGCGAATTGAAGGTAATCCTTTTCTGTGCGATTGTAAGCTCAGGAACGTTTGGCTGTGGTCACAGAAAGTGGGTATAATTCCATCGCAACCCCAAATTACGTGCACGGATGTGCGACGGGGAACCGTTCCTTGGGATGACGTGGAAAATTTAAACTGCAGCGATGAATCGCCCATAGAAGAATCAACTTCTTCAGTAAAGGGCATGCATCCGAAATCCGGCGATAAATCACAAGCAGAGGAATCAACGTCTACTTTACCAGGCACAGTAACAAGCAATGATGGCTACTTGCGTAGCGAACCGCAAAATGTAGACTGGATAGAGAGCAGTGACTTTCTCGGGTATTCTGTCCCAGAAATATCCAATATTCCTGACTTAGTCCGGAAAGATAACGGAGTGAAGAATGCAGTTTTGATTACAGCTTCCATTTTATTTATTATCGCCGTTTTACTTGTAATAGTTGTATTCTTATTCCACATGAGAAGAAGATATGCGTTATATAAAGTATCTAAGAACAATAGTAAGATCGAAAACAGTAATGCTGCATAATAATGTGTTGATTGGTGTTTCCCAGCATTGTAACTTGTAATGGAGGATAGATCACCCATAATAAATAGATAGAATGAATTTAATTATATGCAATACTTCCACATATTTCTGTATAATTTTGTATGCAGCGTGGTGAGTCATCGTTATGCTGCACCTCCCCCCCTCCCAATGTTTAGCCTCTTAACAAATCATACAATAGTGAAGTTTGATAGTTGAAACGCATGTGAAAGATTAGGTCAGATAGACTCTGTCTCTTCCCGTTTTAAATTGAATACAGCTATAAATTTGCAATGTTGACCCGGTGTTAGTGAATTCATTTAGTTGTAAACACGAACTTCAGTAGTTGGCTGGCACAAATTTGTCTTCCATGCCCTGACATTAAGGATTAAAAGAGTTAATATGAGTTTTGTAAGGGACATTCGGTATTTTGCGATGTCGAACGAATCAGTGAAATATGTGATTTGACTTTAAATATCGCTTCACTTTATATACATGTGTTTCATTTTAATATCACCGTAAACATGGTTTATTTCCTTAAATATCATTAAGAAGTTGATCTTTGTAATGGAGAAGTGTTTTCTTTGAGGTACGGACTTAATTCTTAAATATTGTGTGGGTGAACTTCACTTCTTAAGGGTTAAGCTTTGCAAATATGTACAGATCTGTTTATGCTATCGTCTGCAAGCCAGATGGCAGAAATGTTGTGTCTTATTTCACTGCCGCTCACAGTGGGTTTCAGCTAGTACTCCATCTTGCGCTTGAGCATCCAACTATGGTTCAATAAATGGTCTTGCGTTGTTATTGCCACTGTCGATTAAATACCTCGGTTAACTAACGTTGTTTTGTCGTGTAGTGTTAGTTGTATTCCAACGTTCCGGAGGAACATACTGCCTCCATCTTTAAGGCTAGAGGCAGTATTTTCCACCGAAACGTTGGAATATTGTCAAATTACTGCACGGCCCGACAACACATAATCTACACTTACATCGCTGGGAAAATTCCAAAGTCTGCAACGGTTTAATTGTTAAGTGATCGGTGTATCATTCGTGAAGTGTCATTTGAAGTAAGACGCGGGTAACTAGCGGTAATAAACGCAGTAAAATGGAGAATGAATAAACTACTTATCATATAAAAGAACAAACAGTTAAGACGTTACTCTTCAAACACACTTTAGTTTATTACAGGTAACGAACATTAAAATATGCGATCTTTTCTTTTTCTTCTGAGGCTGCAATGTTAGGTTAGGTTCAACAAATTTAATATCGTGGGGGAAAGAGGGGAACGAAGTCAATTATACGTGTCCAAGTAACGCACGTAAGTCATCATTTGATATAATAAGTTTGTGGGTCGAGAGTCTGCTTTTTAGTTGTTCCCGTTTATCATTATGCCATATTAATAATAATAATTAAGCACTAAAATTTAATATTTTAAACATTTCACAGATGCACGTGGTGTGTTACACTGTATGATTTAGTTTTCTGACTTTATTTAGTATGCATTAACATATTAATCATACAATGGCAATGTGTAAACACGAACTTGTACGAGGAATGTACAATAAATTATAGTAATTAATTCTATGGTGTGCCCTGACTGCGTTTCTCTTTGTAACCCGTCTCTAATTTCAAGATTTCTTCCCATCTCCTAACGACCATCGTGTTTAGCTTCCAACCTCCAATCTGCTCCTTTTGGACTCTCGGGGAACTGTGTCTCGAAACGAGACTTTGTCCCGAAATATAAGTCTCGACTAGGAACGGATCATTCTCGAATGAGTCGTTCAAAGGGAGGGACTCTTTTGTGAGAGACGCGAACGACTCGAAAATTGTAAGATAAGTAAGAAGTACCTTACAGATTAATATGTCGCAAAGAGATGTAGCACATAGAGGTACTTTCTGTGTAATAAGAATGGAGAAGACCCTTCCATATTCGCGATTTTGCTTGTTTGCGATTATATTGGTCTGGTAATATCTGGGCGTCTCGGCGTTTGTCCTCCGTCGCTTTTGCACAGATGCACGGAGTAATAAATACACAATAGCAGGCATCTACGCTCTTGCCCTGGTAGTTACGTGGGTATTTAGCCACACCGACTGTGCTTTTCGTGTTTTCTAGAACGTAATTCCAGCGTGTGCTGTAATTTTATAATGTAAACATGCAGTTGCTCGCTTACATATCACTGTATACCTTTCATTGCGTGTTGACAAGACGCGCAATTTCAGGAGAAAGAATGAGAAAATTCCAGATATATTGTCACAGTTGACAAGAAGCCACAGACATTCGATTGCTTCCCATCACCGCCGTGTAAGTGTACATCACGTTAGAACGTCTGAAACTTATCTGTAGCTCGACTTAGTCCCTAGTTTTTTTTATAAACATAGGTAGAATGTGGCTTGCTACAGCATTTCCATGACAGAATGCTTTGTTCTACTTTTTGTAATTGGCCTTAAAAATCGTCACTATTAGTAACCATCTCTGGAATTTCACTCTCTGTTGCTCAAGAATGATTACATTTCTTCTGGAGCAACTGTGCATGCGTTACAGAAGGAAATGAAAATATCGGCCGCTGAGTCAGTGGTCTGCAACGGGTAGAATTAAATTTAGGTGTCTGCCAACATAACGCATTACGGAACGTTTCATTATTCAGCAGCGGCTGACATCCATTTCCAACGCCTCAAAATGTTATTTTGTGCCATAATTATCTTGGTATTCTAAGAAGGAAATTGTTTTCTTGTAGATGAATTTGAATTTTAAGATCTGGGAGGTATATTACTGGAGATGATTAAAGTATTTCGTACGTAATTGTACAACAGGAAACACGAATTTTCAGATATCTGCGCAACAAGGAAACTCTTGATTGCTGCCGCGCTGATGGTTACGATATCTGGTAGGTAATTCCAGAACTATGTAGTGTTCGTATCCTCGTCGCTAGATGACGTGGGGGACTTGAACATTCGCTAATATTAACAGCTGGAACTATGCAATGGCCCACACTGTATCCGTACATTTATATCTATTCCACATTTGATTAACATGTTAACAGGAAAACAGAAGAACTGTTGAACGAAACGAAAATTGGTGAAACGTGGTTCTTTCTTCTGTGTTCAGGATAAATAACTTCATTTACTTCATACAAGATATTAAAATTACCACCAGCCTTAATGTAATTCATACCAAACACTACTGTTGGCCAGTCACTCAATATTCAAAGCTTCTTATATAAAACCCAGCTCGATGTTTGCTAAGTGCTGCTGCAGTCAGGCAGATTTTGGAAATACTGGTAAGCTTCACAACCCGGAAGACCATTAAAGGAATAAATTGGGGCAGATAATATTTATATAAAATAAATCATTGTACCTTGATTTAATCGGGCCTTATACACGAGTAGATGAGGCTGCATAGTTACAATACAGCCATGGGCCTAATTAAACTTCACCTCAACGTCGCTCGGTTTCATTCGCTCTTGCATTGAACCTCTGCAAGCCGTGAGTTTGTTAACAGTTCTGTCTGCAATACAATCATTTCCGCCCCTCGCATAGTCAGTTACCGTTTTTGGACTCGAATGTAGGTCTTTATGCAAAGTGTTTCTCATTGATTTTAACCCAAATTGGAATTTGTCGACAAATTTTAGTCGAATTGTACCTTGATATGTCACGCTTAATGACATTGCCACTGCAACTGTTATAACAACACAGTGGAAATAAATTTAAAAATCATCACCAACCAACACTGGCCTTTTATATAGATAGAATACTGTAACCTGTAAGCCGGTTGAACCAGCTGATGACGGTCACCGCATTCGAATGCCCGAGGGCCGGAAGCCTCCACAACTCACATCAAATGTCGTGTCGTTCGCCAGAACCACCGCCTTCTTAGAGTTTGACCTGGTCCCTTGACAACCGGTACCAGTAAGTTTCCGTGCTCCGGGCGTCTACGCCCTGGGGCAGTGCACTGGACAAAACTGGCTTCCGTTGCCATAAGAGAGAGTAACAGGGAATTACAGCTCTGCTAACAACGTCAAATGTTCAAACAGATCTCTCATGTCATCCGTAGCTTTTCATGATGATATAATTAGGTAATGGTAGGCTTTATGTCCATTTACCTATTACGTCGTATGTACGATACTGTTATAAGATGTGATTTTGTAAGCATCCAGAACCCTGCCGAATACCCATTAAAGTAACTTCATTCGTTTATGTCGGTCGTATGCTTGAAACAGAACGAATAAACTGGTTTTGAAGATATTTAATATTAGACGGTTTTTTAATGTGTTTCCCTCAGTACGGCTGCATACGATGTTTGCGTTGATTGCCATGGTTACCTGTGGATGGGGGATCTTCGTGATGTCCCAGCCACTCATCCACGTATATAAAGGTCATTGATCCCAGATAACTCCGACAAGGTCAAAGGTTAAAAGCAAACGAAGGAACCAGAATTGTTAATGCGTACAATTCCTAACTTGTTACAACTAAGAAAGGAAGATGAGTATGTAGTAAGGATTTGTGGTTGTAGGGTCGCGTCTGTTCAGATCAGGCATTTGGCGTGGTCTTTGAAGCAGTAAATAAATAATAACCTGTGAGAATATTGTAACATTTTACTTGCCTTATAGTTTTCTTCGGGCATTTAAGGAGGTACATATCAGACAAATGTAACATTTTAATATACTTACATATTGAAAATGTTATTTCTAAATAACACGTCGAGACAACCAGTCGCTTAAAAGAATCAGGTACACAAGAGGGCAAAGTCTGTTCCTTGAAAACATTATTTTTTCTTGTTACTACTCCGTGACAGGTGACACTAAGTAACTCGGAAAAAAGAAATTTTCATCTACATTATCTGTAAATGACAACGGTATATTTGGCAGATAATTAGATTTCAAATATAAAATGTTATTAAGTCTAAGACGATCTGTCTAAAATGATAGGCACAAAAATTATTTAACAAGACTGTACATGTTCGTCTTTTATACCTGTGATGCTTCACTGCAAATTTCAAACAGTTTGCTTTATGAAACACTGAAAATAAATGTCTGACAGTAAAAACTACTCTCTGTTTGTTTCACATAGCGAACAGAAGTGAAACTGAGTGAGAAAACTAATTCTGTTGAGGAGGCACTTCACATAAATCTAATCCAGGAACACAAAGAATGCGGACTGTCCCAAGGAAATATCGTTTTAAATGAATGTCATTTTAAATATAGTAACATTAATTTATTTTAGGTCGCTAAGATTTAGCCTGGATGCAGTCTTGGTAATAGACAGAAAAAACAAAATATATTTGATCTGGAAAGTGATGTGAATACTTTAATAAAAACAAAAATCTGAAATCAGTTGGTTGAATACATTGTATTTCGCTTATACAGTCCCTTTCCAGTCGATGTAATATTATAACTATTACATCGTCATTTTCGGTTCCTAAATTTATTTTCAGTTATACTGAATTGTATCGTAAGTGCATGCGCTGTTACACAGTTGACATGCCATTTACACTTGTTACTTTTATTTACCTAGATCTACATGTTCTCTTATATGAGCCGGGATAGCGACTAGCTACGGGCTGGACTACCGGGGTTCGATCCCCGACGGGGGCAGAGGATTTTTCCTCTAGCCTCTGCGTCCAGACCGGCTCTGGGGTCCACCCAGCCTCCTCTACAATGGGTACCGGGGTCCTTTCCCGGGGGTAAAGCCGGCCGGGGCGTGATGCTGACCACTCACCCCCATCTAGTGCCGAGGTTACTTTTTACATGTTCTCTTATACCAAATATCATACAACCGAGAAGATACGATTTGGGAGTCTTAGTCATATATGGGAAGATAATATTAAAATGGAGCTTGAGCTAGGATGTGATGGTGTATACTGGATTAATCTAGAGTCCGGTAGTAGGATAGTGTGAATATGGTAAAGAACTTTTGGATTCAACAAAAGGGGTGTAATTTTATGACCAACTGAGAGAGTATTAGCTTTTAAAGAATAACTCAGCTGAGTGGCGTTACTTAATATTTTACAAGATACCAAATTTTTCACATACATTTACACTGTATGCACTATAAGACGGACTTTATAAAGCTATTACCAGAGGGGTCAAAATTAGATCCCTACCTTCGCCTTATGTTGGTCACATATATATGTGGACAACTCAGAACCTAATCAGTATAAGCTAATTAAACATTTTACGGAAGGAATTAAATGTTTTGTTAATTTAATCGTATGAAATCAACACCAGACGTAAGAACACGAAATGTTTTGTCAAAGAACTTGCTTTATAACTTAATCTTTATGGCCATAAAACCACGTAACCGAATCCTAACTTAAACTGGCGGCTATCGTTTAGGCCGTGTAATTAATGTAAGTGTGGAAAAAAACTTATGTACAGGTTGGGGTAATAGTAGGAGTTTTACTTGACAAGCCCTGAGCTGGTGATAGCCAAACAGTGTGGGCTTTAAATAAATCTGCTTGACTTCCCAAGATACAGAAATAATGTTTTTTTTTTTAAAAATTAATTTCATTGCATGATTACTGCAGTAAAATATGTACAGGTTATGTAAATGCAAAACGCACAGTGATATGTACAATCTATTTTGACGTCAGCAGTCCTATGTACAGTAATCACTGACTTCGTGTATCTTTATGCTGTATATGAGAGAATTTACATCACATGTCCCTCGTTCATGTTATTTCAGAGCCCAAAATCACGATATAATGTGATAAATTTTCAAGTACGAAATTATACTAAGACTTAATTAATGTCTTAAATCACGTGATTCTTTGATTACACAATAAATTGGTCTACTACAGACTTCCATTAGTTGTTTTTAATTTTACAGGAGGATAATGTCGAGGCTGAGAATTGAAAAGGAGCTAAGCAGCCTCTCTCCTAAGTGCCAACAGTGGCACGTAACGGAATGGATTTTTTATTTCATAAAATTAATCAAATTCACTAAAAAAAATTTAAATCAAACCGTTTATCCCCGTCTTAAGCGTGAAACCAAAAATAACCGCCACAGTCTTATGTAACAACAAATAATCGTATTTAAAGTGTTATCGAAACTTAAAATCTATCCGTTTACTGAGACAGACAAATACACATTTTCCAAGATCGGATATACAGAGTTCAATGACACGCGAAATGCAAAGTTTTTCTTAAAGTCTGGCACACAGATTTACGAGCATTTAATTTAATATGGATTTGAACCATTTCGGGTGAAGCTCTTCAGCTGCCCTTGTGGCACGGGTAACTAACTATTCAGGCGCTGTCAATCACTTCCTGTTTCAGAACACAATGGCACATTTGTATAATAAGTCTGTCTGTGTGTGTGTATTAAAATATTATTAATTGTCTTCACACAATAAATAATAGATAAATTCATGTACTTGTGCATTTATTGATTGCATGTCGTTTTGGAGATCATTTGCAATAAATAAGTGCATAAATTAATTTATTATTTCTTCTGTGAAACTGTACAGTTAATAATATTTTAAAGAAGGAAACAACATGACGCCGTGATACAATCTGTGTGCATATTGATTAGCCAGCATATTACGTGCATTGCAGGCAACCGCTGGTATTTGCGGTAGATCATTTATATTGTAGCGTCACTGTTACGTGAGGTGACTCCATTTGTGGTACGGTGGCTGTCTCCAGTGTCTGGTGACCCTTCTCCGCAGTCAGGCTGGACGTCGTCTGAATGTGTCCCGCACATACGTCTCTGCCGTCTGTTCACGAAATGCAGTATCCACTGTACGTCTTTATAGCCTCTTCTGTGTAGCTCTTGCCTGCGATTACACCTGGGTCCGTATGATGACGTGGGCAAACGTGGCCGTGTGGACACTGGCACAGTGTGTTGGTGTTGACTTCATCTAGAAGCTCCTGGCGTTTCCTCACAGTGAACAGGCGACAGGGCTCTTTCCGCTGACAACGCAGCCTCTGTGGGCGCGAACACAAACAATGTAGTACGCCCGTGAGGAAACAACAAGCATAACATAATTTTGCTTGGAAGCACATATATTGTAGAAAGGACACGGGGAAACAAGAAGTGGTAATATATTTTTTCTTGGGAAAACTTGAGAAGATAAAAACGTAGTAGGATTATTTAAAACGATAACTTTGCCCATTATTTTGTATGGGTCTGAAACCAGGTCTCTCTTGTTTAGGGAAGAACACAAGTTGCTTATATTATTTGTACCTAGAAGGATCTTCTCCAGATATTATTAGGGTGACCAAGTCAAGGAGTAAGATGTGGGTGAGGCATGTAGCACGCATGATAACATGAGAAGTGCGTGCTAAATGGTCCTTGGAAGACCTGAAAGGAAGAGACCACCCTGCACACCTAGCCGTAGATGGGTGGATAATATTAAAATGGAGTGGCTTACTTTTTGAACCCAACTTACATCGACTGTTGGCCAGAATACCGACTATCCTATCACTCTTTTCGTGGCTCTCCTCAGTCCCCTTTGTCCATAGGAGACATGACATTATGTCAGTTTTGCATTCGTCTTAGCATGGCTCTCTGCGAGGATAACGACCTAATAGAAACAGCAATTTCTGTTTGTGATTGTCCCCCTATTTCAGTCCAGTGCACCGTAGTCACGCCATTGCAACTCGTTTGTGCTCTGTCCAACGGCACCAAGATCGGGTGAATGTTTTATTTGGAAGAATACTGAGTGTCATTTTGACACACGAAATCAATTATGTAGTGCCCCGTATTTTTCCACTATATTGACAGGAGTTTCCAAGTTTAACTTTACATTTCTCTAGCACTCCAGCGGATATTTCTGGCTTTTTTTTATTTTATTTTAGAATAAAGCCGGCCGGGGCGTGATGCTGACCACTCACCCCATCTAGTGCCGAGGTCAAGGAAGAGAGGAGCTATACCTCCACTCACCCCAAACGCCTACATGGCGTGTAGTGGGACACACTTTACTTTATACACCACGACAACTTCAACTTTATTCACGGATTATCCTTTGTAATAGTTTGATTTCCTGATTTATTAAACGACGCTTTGTCAGTTGCACAGAATGTTTGCGAAAGGAACTTGAGCTTTTTTTTTAAAGTACGTAATCCAGCATTGACTTTGTGAAGTCGCGACATGTTACAATTAGTATTTCTTGTCTCTGGGTTGAAATTCGAAGCCTTACGAACATGAAGCCAAAGTGACAAAACACAACAGCTCGCCCTCTGTTACCCCTTGAACAATCTAACATTCTCAACGGGCACATAATTTCTACAACAAGTAAAGTATGTTTAATCTGAATTACAAACTGTGGCATTTCATGAGAAGATTAGTTAACGTGAGTGTTGATCTAAACTTGTAGACTAAGGAACTTCCTCGGTGTACTTACGCTTTGTGGCGAACATGCGAAGGAGTACCGGTAAGCGAGGAGGCCATGTGGCGACTGCACTGCCTGACGCTTAATTAGGTACGAGACAGCTGCACGAGGACAATGACAGTGTACAATCTGCTCGGTGATATTATCAGCACTGCTCACCAAAGTCCACGTGATGTCTCTGAAGTATCGACATTTTGGCAGCTTCTTCACTGGTTCACACAGCTGAACATGTAACACATATCTTAGTAGAGGCGCTACTTTTCTGTGACAGTAGTCCTATAGTCCTAAGACTATTGGACTACTGCTGGTTCTCGCTGTCGGATAGGTCACTGTGAAGTTTCGGACAAGGCAAGGACACGTTTTGGCGTGAGATTTCACAATTTTAGGTCAGGACGCAGACATTAGCACAGTGTTGCATGTACCAGGATGTGAAAGTGTTTATTTTGGGAGAAATTTGTAAATAATTTCATGAAACGTAGAGGGAAGTTTAATTAAAAATATTATAAAGACATTTGAATTAAATTGGTCTCTATGCTTTATATTGTTAGCATCCTATTGTCGTGATTAACTTTTAGATCCGCGGAATGCGTAAAAATATGTACGTGTGTATGCGCGTAGAGAATTTAATGTACTTCGCACTCTGTGCCTCATGTGTGACTAGTAAAATGGCGGTTGTGCACAAAGCTTTAGCCAGTTATGATAGGCGTTAATGGAGTTCGTGCAAAAGATGATTTTTAATATTATTACGTATTGCGTACAAATTCGTTGAAAGTGCGTTTAAAGACTCTGCGAGTGCGCGAAACAAATCAGGCAGATCTCAGACACTTTCATGAAAACATATTTGCAAGCTACATTATTGTAATAGAAAACAGTCTTTGAACTGGTCTTGTGACATGTACTTCGAATTGCTGATTCTGTTTTATTGATTCTGATGGAGATCTCATATTATTGGAAAAGTATTCATTTGTTTGGATTATAAAGTAAGATGTCGCTCATTTCCAGAAAACATTTTCAGTTGCATCAGAAAGCGTCTTGTGTGACGTCACATGTCGTTTATGGTATTTATATTCACGACATTAGTGGCACGTTGATGGAATATCCTTTTAAGCTAAGAATGTCGCCACGGTATATAATGTTATCCTGTTTTATGTTTTATGATAATGGGATGCGCCTTAATACAACTTACATGTTTATCTGTGACAGAGTGCCCTACCATCCTACATCCTGTAGTTAATACGGGTGTTCCAAAAAGATGTATACGCACATTAAATGAATGAGACAAATACATTATATTAAACTGGACCATTACATACGTCAGTATTGGCACTTGGTTAATTCGCGAATCTAGTGTCTGTGTTTAAAATGACCACCGTTACCTTCGTGGCACGGTTGCCAGAGGTGAGCCAGTGACTGACAGCCGCACGCTCAAGTTGCTGCTGTGTATACAAGTTCTTGAGACACCCTGTGTGTTCTAAAAACGGATATTGCGTATAAAGTAATTTTCTAACTCTCGATTAAACAGTTTAAATAATTTCTGGTGTTTTTTTTCTTCTAATTATTGATCTTAATCCTCCAAAAGCCTGGAGTACCTGCTTTAACATTCAGCAACTTTGCGGTTTGCCCTTGGTTCATATGTACCTTACGCATGGTTCTCAGAATAAACAGTGATCATCCGAATACCTGAAGATGGCTGTCTTCTGGGAAATCATTGCGTGTTGAGTCATTGCTTTGTTGATGCTGGCACTAAGCAGCTCTGAAACGTCAGTCGGTTTCTATCAGACTACACGGCGCAAAATTCCGGAAGACAGCCGTGTTCGTACTCGTCGCCATGAGAACCTGACGTGCGTTGCCTTCTTCTGGGTACTGTACCTTAAACTGCCGGGTCTTGTCCGTGATGGTGTGTCCGTCGGTGGCGGCCAGCTGGCTGGGGCAGGACTGTCTCCCTGGACACCGACATTGGCGTTCCACCCAAGGCGTCTCGTACAAATCAACCTTGCTGCATACTGTCCAGGGGCTACACTCCGGAAGGTCTTCCTCGTTGTTCTGTGCAAATTAATACAAATTTTCAGATTGCACCAAACATAATAACCGAATGTTTCTGTCAAATGTTTGGCGCTCATGCTTCGTATTTGGGAGGTCCCTGGTTTTAAGTCTCTGCCAGGAGACAGGTTGCCCTGCGTGATGTGTTGCTTTTTGGGTTAGCATTTCAGATCAGGCCACGACCACTCCGCATTCTTTCCAGCTCATTTTTTATTTCTCGTTCTCACATTCAACGGTATATGACCAGAGTTAGAGTTACTGACACCGACGTCAAACAAACCATAATTGCGTAAACTAAACAGAATAAAGATTATTTTAAATTTATATTTTAGTGTTTTCTTTAAACAGCAAATAGGGGCTTGATTCTGGATGGAGTAGCGATTTCTGCCTTCACTACCAAGTTTCACTCGGCTGTGGATTCTATTTTCCTTCTACCGTTGGGTACTTATCGG